TCAGGGCTTGTATGCATATAGTTCCGTTTTATTTCTTACGTTCTTTGTTGACAGGCTGGTTTCAAACCGCGTTAAGATCATGTCATGCAACGCATATTTTGTGCCATCGTTTCTATAAAGTCACATTTTTTCTCGATTTTTAAACTCGCTTGTTTATTTTTATTTCAGGTTGTTTTGTAAGGGGAAAAACACGGTTTTAAATTCACCCTGTGAGGCAATGTAACTACCGCACCCAGGTAAAACAGTTACTGAGAGTTTTGTAGTATACAGTATGCAATGTTTTTATGCACATATCAGAATTTTAATTGTGCAATTTCATAGTGTAGATCATAACGTTGTAATTCCTACATTGACCAAAATATTTAAAACAATTGATTTGAATGTAGTATAAATAATATCCACCATGTTGGTTATAATAGGCCATGGCATAACAGTAATAATTGGCTTATTAATATCCGATAGAATTTAAATATCAATCAATCCTTACTTTTATGTTTGTAAAATATGTGCAAATGGCATGATGTCTGTTTGTATGTGACACAAGACACTATAATAATGTGGATAAACTTTCTGATCCTCAGTTCGCTCAGCTGCTAGAACCATTCCCATGTCTTTTGGAAACGGGTCAGCGTCCCGCTTTGATCGGGTCCGTGATATGCCTCACTATGATCAGGTGCCCATCGGCTCACTGCCGTGGGGTCAACAGGCTCCTTACCCACTCGGCAGTGAAATGGCAGCATCTAGTTATGACAGTTTACCACCACCGCCTCTCCCCGAAAACCCTCCTGTTGGCCCAGATTTCTACCCGAGTGATGTTGAAGACCAGGTGGATGATGCCATGGACATCAAACCCATCCGACGCTTCATTCCTGACTCTGTGAAGAACTTCTTCAGAGCCAGTGGCAACCAAGGCAGCAAGAAATGGACCTTTCCACCACCACCACCTGATGTGAACACCACCACCGAAGGCGTCCTGTGCTCTCCTCCACACTCACGTGCACCCTCACCTACAGCCCCCAGCTCTTACCTAGACCCTTATGGAGGGTCTGGAGGCAGCTACAATTCAAGGAAGGAGCAGGCAACGTTATTAGGGGAGCCGCTGGAATCGGTTTCTGGACGCTCTTTGCAGACGGCTATGACTTACAGTGAGAAGGTGGAGGAATACAATCAGCGCTACGCGTATATGAAGTCGTGGGCTGGTCTTTTGCGCATTTTGGGATGTGCAGAGTTGCTTTTGGGGGCTGCTGTTTTTGCATGCGTCTGTGCATACGTGCACAAAGATAATGAGTGGTTTAATATGTTTGGTTATTCCATGCATCAGATGTATGGGGGTATGTATGGGGGAACATCAATGGGTGGGATGTACGGAGGAACTGGAATTTCCTACTCGGGACCCTTGACTCCTTTTGTTATTGTGGTGGCTGGAGTGGCCTGGATAGTGACTGTCATTCTAGTAGTGTTAGGCATGACCATGTATTATCGTACCATTCTACTAGACTCCAGCTGGTGGCCAATCACAGAGGGTGTGATAAACTTGACGTTAGCGTTGCTCTACTTGTCAGCTGCAATTGTGTATGTGCGAGACACAGTGCGTGGAGGTCTCTGCTATTATCCACATTTCAACGCTGGGCCCAATGCGGGGTTTTGCCGAACAGAGGCTGGACAGAATGCTGCCATCATCTTCCTCTTTCTCAACATGCTGTTGTATCTCGTGGGAGCAGGCGTGTGTCTGAAGCTGTGGAGACATGAAGCTGCAAGGATGCGCAGAGAGAGAATGGGTCTAGATGTAAAGTTCAAATCATTTGTTCTTTGAAATTGATTAAAAATAAAATAAAAAAATAATGCTCATAATGATTTTGCTATTTTAGTAATAGCAGTAAATTATCTCAAGCGTAGCTAACAAAGTCTAATTTGCTTGCTTTTCTGTTCTTATTCGTATTTAGATGAAATCAGAAGGACTTCCGCTCAATATGGTAAGCCGTTGAATTTTAATATTAAGAAGAACATTTTCAGATTTTAAAATCATTGTTGTAATGTACTATTTGTAATCTCAGATTGGTGCCGGCTCAAGTGTCTCTGTGCCCATCCAAACCGCTCCAGTAATGGCCAGTCCAGAATCTTATGATGGCACACCTGCCAACCCAGTTATGATGGAACCAGAGATCTTAAGGGGTCATATTCCTGCTGGCCACATCCCCAAACCTGTGGTCATTGCAGACTATGTGGCGTGAGTTTCAAAGGATACTTATGTTAACTGAAATTAGTTAATTAATTCAGGCAACTAACTATATGAAATATATAAACTCGATTTTAATGAAGTTCAGACACTAGCCACATATTTAGGACTGGTTATTGTTACCTTATGCCTTTTTTAATCTCTTATCCCTTTGCATCTGAATGTTCGGTCTAATCTTTCTCCTCACAGGAAATATCCCACAATCCGGTCTGATGAGGAGAGGGAGCAATACAAGGCTGTGTTTAATGATCAATATGCAGAATATAAAGAGTTGCATGCTGAGGTTCAGGTCTTAACGCAGAAGTTTGAGGAAATGGATAATCTGATGAGGAATCTACCACAGCAGCCTTCCAGTCAAATGGTAATTGTTTGAAACAGCAAATTCTTTCATAATTATTATACTTATATTATTTGAGAAACAACATGGAATATTTGTAATTGAAAATTAGTTTGTGACCATTAAAATGAATTAGATAAGACTCAAAGATGATTAAAAACGGCGGAGAGCTGGTGACCAGTCACAGTACAATTCCTTTATACATTTGTCTAAATACATTTCTCTGAAATCTTTGTATTGAAACAGAAATATTTTAGATATTAATCTTGGCTTTCCTCCCACAGGAGCAAGAGAGAATCAATAGCATTATTCAAGAGTATAACAGAAAAAAGGCTGTAAGTACCGTTTAATACTGTTATCTATCTATTCTACTTCTAGGAGTTTTAAAGTAATACACTGAATACATGTTAGGTATTTTACTTTTCCCAGAAAAGCTAAGCCATGACCTATGTTCTACAAGTTTCTTTGACCCATTTCAAAACCTTTTTGCCTGTTGCCTTTCTACATTCTTTAGTCTTTGCAAAAGAATGACATAGTATCTGTCTCCGTTTGAGTGCCACAAACAATAGAAACTGAAAAACTGGAAATGTTAGGGGGACATAAGTGGAACTATTGAAATGTTTACGTACTTCCTGTGTGTGTGTGTGTGTGTGTGTGAGTGCAAGCCAAAGATTACTTTACGTGTTTCTGGTTGTAGGACCCGACATACCAGGAGAAAAGGGAGAGATGTGAATATCTGAAGAGCAAACTTGCACACATAAAGCAGAAAATTCAGGAGTATGACAAAGTAATGGACTGGAATGACGGTTACAGCTAAACAGAACTCCATTATACTTTCTTCAAAGAGGTGTCCCAGAAAAGAAGCAACTGGCCGAAAGAAAACTGTCCATGGCTATAACTTCAGGAATTAATGGAGTTTTTGGTTTGGTCTTGGTTGGTATTGAAATAATTTCATATTGAATTCAATAGAGCAGGAAAGTCCAATGAAGGACTTTAAACCCAGCAGTGAAAATGTCACCTTTATTACTGATTTATCATGTGGAGCAACATCAGCAATGTTTTTATCATATATGATATACTGTATATTTCTATATAAATGTTTTATTTTAGAAGTAGGTAATTTGAAGGAAATCACTTAGTCTTTGAGTCGTTTAAATAGCAGTATCTCTATAATGTTATGGTATATTTATAGTTTTCCTAGTTTAATTTTCACTTTGTGTTTTATACTGTACAGTCATGTGTGAGTTAAATGTAAATTTTTTATCACCATGTCCATCTACCTTCGATTTCATTGTTATTGGAAGTAGATAAAATAAACAGGCCTGCCTCCACATTGTACTGGCAAGCATTTCCTTTTTGACAAAATGAAAAAAGTTGGGACACTGTACAAATTGTGAATAAAAACAGAATGCAATGATGTGGAAGTTTCCTGTCCCACCTTTTTTGGAATGTGTAGCTCTCATGAAATCCAAAATGAGCCAATATTTGGCATGACATTTCAAAATGTCTCACTTTCAACATTTGATATGTTATCTATATTCTATTGTGAATAAAATATAAGTTTATGAGATTTGTAAATTATTCCATTCCTTTTTTACTCACAATTTGTACAGTGTCCCAACTTTTTTTGGAATTGGGTTTGTACATACCGCCTCTCATGTGTCTGTTTATACTTTAACACGCTATACTACATAGCTCCGAGCATTATAGACCTGCTGTTGTAAAGTAATATACACTTATACTGGCTTGACAGTATTGAAGGTATCAGGTTACAACCTGCAATTGACCTCAGGACGAAAAGGTGCTCATTCAACCTTATGCCTCATGAATATTGAATATGGTGTGTAATAATCTAGAACAATCCTGCATTAATCATTGTTATTGTTTGTATGGCAATTTATGGTAATTGAAACTACGATTACAGGTCTGAGCCATATGTTGCACTAAGGAGAGACTGGCAATTAGCAAAGCACTTACGAACAACTTGCTTATTATTTCGAATTAAATGATGACTGGAGTGGATTTTAAAGATAAAACCTCCCAGATTACAAGTTCGTGATTTGAGCAATCAGAAATTCCATTGGTCTTAATACATTTCTTGCAATTTATGCTTATGTTTTCGTATTAGCTATTACAGGCGTCTAAAATATTTTTCCTTTGGTGTAGGGATGGAGCATAAAATGATTATTAAGCATTTAATTACTGGATATTTTCTATGAATGTGGTACACGTTGGTGTTTTATGATACATATTTTTAAAAGCATTAGAGACAGAAATAACAGTAATTGTTGTCTAAACTACTATAGTTTACTCTAGTAAAAAATTATCTAACATAAATTTTCAGCCTGTGTTAATTTTTTGTATTGTGAAAGTAGCTATGCAAATAAACCTGGCTCGTCTTGCGTGAAGTCGGCGCCGTGCGCACACGTTCAGGGCGGGGCTGCACCTGTGCAGGTGAGGACGGGAGGAGGCTGGTTTCACTGATGTGTCGTGTGAGAGAGGGCAGATCTATGAAACTCTCGGTATTCAGCGGGCGTTTCCTAGAAGCTGAGCGTTTTGTAGGTCCGTGAAATACTCCTATACGGAGCGAGGAAGGGTTACAAAATATTTACCAGATTTGACTGCTTTGGTAAGGAAGAGGGTGAGTTTCCACGATACAATTCATTTATTTTCTATTTTGTAATTTGTTTTTAAATATTCTTAGCTCAATATTGTAACCCATTGCAGCCTATGTTGTTGATTGTTTGGTTTACTAATACGCAGCGGAACTAATTTTAGGACATTTAAATAGTTGTAGGCTATGCTAAGCGTCGTCTTTGTGTTTTTTTTTTGACAAGCATTGTTTTCTCCAGACCTTCGTAATGTGGTTATTCGTGTAAAATTCCAGGTGTCCGGTATCCTAATTCTGAGAATATTTCGAAGTATTTCTTTTTTCCGAATGTACACAAGCTGAAGTACACTCTTAAAAATAAAGGTGCTTTAAAAGGTTCTTCAAGCGATGCTATAGAAGAACCATTTTTGGTTCCACAAAGAGCCATTCAGTCAAAGGTTCTTTAAAGAACCATCTCTTTCTTACCTTTTTATAATCTGAAGAACCTTATTTCGCCACAAAGAACCTTTTGTGAAACAGAAAGGTTCTTCAGATGTTAAAGGTTCTTTATGGAACCATTTAGACAAAAAGGTTCTTCTATGGCATCGTGAAGCACCTTTATTTTTAAGAGTGTACTGATGTACTGATTTTTTTTTTACTTGATCTCAAACGTTGGTCTAATATTCTCATGTTTCTCAAATGAAAGCATGTTAGAAATCGGCAACTTATCCATACACAAAATAAATGAATTAAAAGTACAGTGATAAGTTGTTTTGCTACAACCTACTGCCACCAGGTTGTGATGTAACTCTAATTGTAAGCAACTGGACACATTTGAATTCAAACCAGTAAAAATAATTGAAAACAAAAATAGCAATTCATAAAACAGACTAAAAACAGTTTTAATCTCACAATAATATATTGAAAAGCATTACAATGGTCAGCCATATTTTTAATTAAAATGAAATAAAGATTTGAAATGAATATATATTTAATCTATTTTTTTTTTAAATCCTAAACATTATTTTAGTGGTAATGATAGTGATTTTATATATCTTACTGACTATACTGATGGTGTTACAGGACAACACTTGGTCTCTTTTTACAATTATGTAAAAAAACGAATCATATTCTGATTGCAGAGCCATTAATAACTAATGTAAAAAACGCTTTGTATCTTAAGTTGTATCACCATCTCTGTATCTAGATTAGATCAAGGTCTGGGTTTTTGGTTTTATTTCCTCAACAGTGCATTATTATATCACATTGATTCATCAATTATGTTTTTTCATTCTTACGTTAGATTTCACCTAGATAACCCTGTGAAGTTTGTCCAGGAAACTAACATCATGCCGAAAAAATCAAGTCGCCCTCCTGCATATGGTGGCAGACAGTAAGTTGCATATTAGAGAAAGCATGTAATCATCCATTATCAGTACAAATAAGTTTTCTTTATTGACCCTTTATTGCCTCATCGTAATGGTGTTATGACCTGAGCAGTATTGTTTTAGTACCATTGATATATATATTATTATAGTTTTTGTTAATATTTTGAATTAGGTTTGAATTTTTATTTTCAATTTTTACTTTAATTTTAGTTATGTGTGTGTATATATATATATATATATATACCATACAGTATATATATTACTTTAGTTAATTATTTTATTTCAAGTAAAGTGTTTTTATGGTTTTAGTTTTAGTTAACTTTAATAACCATGTATCTGAGTAAAGTTTTAAAACAGAATTAGTTAATAGTTTTCCTTTTACTCATCCATATTATCTCACTTTATTATTTCAGTCACCACCGATCCTCCCATCGCACACCTTCTTACCACCCTGATGAGATGCTTCACTTTTACCGCTGGACGTCACCCCCTGGTGTCATGAAGATTTTGTGCATCATTATCATCATTTTGTGTGTGGCTATGTTTGCCTGTGTAGCCTCCACACTGGCATGGGACTATGATGCCAGCGCCATGGGCCTCGGGGGTCTTGGGATGGGAGGCGGCTATAGCGGTGGATCGTATGGTGGTGGATCGTATGGCGGTGGATACGGCGGTGGACTTGGTGGATATGGAGGAAGTTACGGTGGGGGTCTCGGAGGCTATGGAGGCGGCACATACATGGACCCGAAATCAGGCAAGGGCTTCATCATAGCGATTGCGGCAATCACTTTTATCGCTGTGCTCATCATCTTCATCCTGGTGGTGTCGAGACAGAACACTTCACAGTCTCCCTCATTCTATCTGGCCTCCATCATTATTTGTGCCATTCTGGCTTTACTCATGCTCATCGCCACCATCGTGTACCTGGTTGCTGTTAACCCCACTTCTCAGACGTCTGGATCCATGATGTATAATCAGATCTTGCAGATGTGTGCACAATACAAGAACCAAGATCAGGCCTCTGGCATCTTCATCAATCAGTATTTATACCACTACTGTGTAGTGGAGCCTGAAGAGGTGAGCATGTTCTCCTGACTGGGAGTAGGGCATCTTCATAATAATATTTGTTCAGTTCAGGTTGGCTATTATCAGACACGACGTAATACATTTCTGTTGTGTAGAAATGCTAGTTGAGATTCATGCAAACACAGAAGCCAATCTGCCACATTGTCATATTGTTGTTCATTTGCAGTGCTATTCAAGTGTTTTATTTCTTTCTTTCTCTTCAAGGCCATTGCCGTTGTTCTTGGGTTTCTGGTTGTGGTTGGATTGATCATCTTACTCGTGTTCGCGGTGAAGACCCGAGGGCAGATCAGGAGATATGGCAGGGAGCGTGTTCTGTGGTATGACGTGAAGACCATCACCGACGGCCTCACGTCTCAAGGCATCGGGGAATGGGTAAGAATTTTCACTAGCAAATTCCAAAAAAGATATGTTTCATTTCATGTCCATGTTAGTTCTGTGTTTTTCTTTATTCAGTACAACGCGTGGATTTATAATGTCATGAAATGTAATACTGTTTGTAGCACTTGTGCTACTACTATATAATACCAAGAATGCTTTTTGATACATCTTGTTTTATTTTCAATGGTTGCTATGTGCTGCCTATAATTTCTCCACTGTTTTTAAGGAGTATCACTGGTCTTGAGCATTACTATTAAGACCATCCATTAAGAGAAGTTGCAGAGAAAGATTTCCATGAAGAGGTGTTTTTATGTCTAGTTTCAGGGTGTGTCCTCTTATGTACTTTCACTTGATGGAAAACATGATTATGAAACACATGGAACACTTAATAGTGACTTAAAAGTTTATAAACTTGTAGGTGGGAATTGTTAGACCAAAAAACATCAGCATGTTCTAGTGTTTTTAGGTCACTCCATTGGCTTTGTTCTTACACAATTCACCATGTAAGCAGTGGTAGTTTTGTCCTTTATGTCACGATGGTATTTGTGGAAGTGGTGGAACCGGTTTTGCCTGGCTTTAATGTTTGTCCAGACTATTTACCATACAAAAAAGGACGGCTGAGTGCATTGGGGAAACAGAGAAGCTCAAGTAAAAGAAGCATACAGCAACACTTACAGGAGTGACAGACTACCAAATGATGAGTGAAAATGTTTTGAGATGACAAATGTTGTCATGCTGGCTGGCACATTTTGGGAAAAAAAAACACCTTTTGATGCAGTATTAAGATTGCTAAAACCAGGTCCGTTTTTGTGTTGTTAAATGCACATTATGTTTCCAATGAAATATGAAACCGTTGAAGGGTGAGCTTTTTTATATGGAATTGCCTGCTGTAACGTTATTAATTTATACAAAATGTCTAGATAGGATCTCAGATTTTCTTTGCTTTTTCTTCAGGTTAAAAATGTTTCTGGAGATCCAGAGGCTTTTGTCAATGACCACAATGATCAAATCAGGGTTACACAGCCAATGGTTTACAGCCAGAAACCAATTTACCTTCCAAGGTAGGTCATCTCGGTGCTTTTAAATATTTTATTGCAAAAACAAATGCAGTGCAAATGCATTACTTTTCATCTTTCTGTAGACTTTGTTCTGTGACTGTTCTACAATACGTTTGATTTTTATAGATTACATTTGTAGTGGTTGACTATAATTATAATATCTGTATGCAATGTATTTAATAATCACAAATTATTAATTATTTTAATTAGTAATGACAAATAAAATGTACACAAAGTCACGTTGTAAGCAGAATGACCACAGACAGACTCAAAATGCTGGGTCTGCTCAATATTAGTCTGTCACTAGACTAGGTGACACAGAGTGAAGGAATCCAGGAAATCTTGTCCCTGTATGAATAGGACCTGGTGGATTTTGTTTTGTCATGAACATGAATAACCAGTTTCACAAATTGATTGTGAACTATTGTGATCAGAAAGCTATTCTCACTGTCAGTTATAATCAAAATTGTAATAATATCACACCTAAGTTATTAACAAAATTGCTATTGGTGTTGTTTTTTTTTTTTTTTTTATCAAAAGTGGTTCTGACGTGACAAGCTCTTTAAGTGGACTGAAGGGCAAACTAAGAGACTATGACACTGGAGAGTCTGGAGATGAGCTGGACACTGACTATCAAAGGTGAGGAAGATCTTTGAGTTCTAGTTGGTAGTACTGGAGCACTTAAAAAAAAAAAGCTCAGCATTTGTGACTTTATGTAATTAGTAACACTTTTGTCACATTTCCCCCTTTACCTCTATTTTGTGCTGCCATGTTCTCAGTGAGTATCCTCCCATCATGAATGAGCAGGAGAGGCTTGAGTACAAGAGAGAGTTTGATAGAGACCATATGGATTACAAGCGTCTTCAGGCTGAGCTAGATGATATTAATCAGGGCTTGGCAGAAACAAATCGAGAGCTGGACAGCCTGCAGGAAGGCAGCCCACAGTTCATGGTATGTAATTTATAAAGTGAAACACAAATTCACATGCTTAAAGGGGTCCTATTATGCTCTTTTACAAAGTCTGGATTTTGTTTTCTGGAGATCCAGAGGGGTGTACAAGAACAGGCTCTCACACTAGGTTGTTCGAAAAACACATTATTTTTCACATATTTTACATTATTACAACACCTCTCTCCCCAGTCTGGCATGAACGACTCGAATAGTTCCTGTATCAAATGAAGGCCGGCCTTCTGAAATACGAAATGTGCTGTGATTGGTTAGCTGGGCCAGTGTGTGTTGTGATTGGCAGCACTCGGCGCCTGGTCGGGAAGTGTCATGCCCTTTACCATAGCCGCCTGCGAGCTTCAGTGTAAATATTGCGTCAATATCAAATCAATTTGAGCGCGCTTTAAACCCGGATGATTGTAACCACTCTAAGTTCGTCTGTCTTGGGAAAGCTAGCATGTCTCCGACATAGTGACAACACACGTTGCCTTCTCTAGTGCAGCTCAACCAGGTCTCGTCCCATTCGACGGTATTTGTGATATCACAAATCCCGGAAAATATGCGTTGTAGTCCAAACGAGTCGTTCGTTGTAGTTTTTGAAAAGTGATTTCTGTTCAATAAAATATCTCCTTTTGAAGTGGACTTTGAACTTTGTAACTTTGCAGATCTTTTTTTTATGCCCAAACAGAAACATTACTGACTAACTAAAGTTGAAAAAGTGAAAAAGCATAATAGGACCCCTTTAAGATTATGGTTGTCAAGTCTTACAGTATAAAGTCACTTAATCTGTGGTTTTACAGTAATCTCTTTCACCTTTAAATAATAATAGAATAACTTCTTTAACAATATTAAGCATTCATTTAATAATATCTCTCCTGTTTTGATAAAATCATTGTTATTCAAATATGTTACATTAATATATATTACTCTTGTTTTATTATCTAAAAAGGATGCCATGGATGTATACAACAGGCTTAAAAGTTTGAAGAAGGTAAACTCTTTCGGAATAGAATATTGTGAATTGCATAATTTGTCACAGCTGTTAAAAAAACCCAGTTTATAGTACATAATGATTATGACTTGAGTGTATAGGCAAATGTAATTTCTGACCTGTTTTCTTTCCCACAGTCTTCAGACTATCAGATGAAAAAGAAAAGGTGTAAACAGCTGAAGACAAAACTGTCCTTGATCAAAAGAAGGGTCAGCGATTATGACCACAGACAATAAAAACTGGCACTGGAAACTCTGGAGGGTATATTACGTGACATGTTTTGTTTTGGGACTTTACTGTATCTGTATTTCTGTATTAAAAATCTGTATCACTGTATTACTATCAAGAACTGTGTGGCTGCTGTATGACAGGTTTTTGCTTTTGAGCCAAACTAAGCTTGATCAAAATATTGTGGTATCAATGAAGTATTTTGTTTTATTTTTTTAAAGTTAGATGAAGTCTCCTTTTATCTTTATCCTCAGACATTTAGTCAAGTCAAAGTTAGTGTATCTTATATGAGACTGTGGCCACTTTTTGCTGTAGTTTTAGGGATCTTCAAGCAAAGACGTTCCAATGTTGTTTGTTATAATGATTTCTTAGTGGATTTTCTTTTTTTAACTTTCTTTTTTTTTTTTTACTTGTTGATTGATTGGTCACCAGAATAGCAATCTATTCTTTTTTTAAGTACACATTTATAGAATAGGTGTGAATTCAATTTCAATTATAACATTTATATATATATTGGTTCTTTAAGTCAATTCTGTCGAATTTATAGAGAATTCAGGCAAATTGTGTTGAATGTACAGTACATTTTTTGCTCGTTATTTGTGTACATAGTAAAATAAAACCATTCAGTTTCCAAATGCATTCTTTTGTATTCATTTCAGCTTCTGAAATTAATTCAAGTGGGCAACTAAAAAAGCTAATCATAAACTGGTTTTATGGATCAATATATGGAGGCCCTCCCTGAACTCGGAACTATTGTTCAGTTTTTGTACCGGAGGACATAACAAATCGACGGACAAGGGTTGCCCGAAAGTAAATACCGGGTGAATTGGATTGTTTTTTTTTTATAGTCCACTGATTAAGTTACATATTAATATGTGCTTAATACAAAAATACAGTTAATAGACATTTTCCTGTATTTGCCGTTATACGTTTTAAAGTACGAAAATCTATACAACGTATAAGGGAGTCTCTGTGAGGAGACCAAATGTAGAAATCTATTGAAACTTCTGAGAGTACAAACCTTTCGGAAGAATAGAATAACTGTATAACATTACCCCTAAACAAAGCTTACAGTCTGTTAAAATTATAAAACATGGATGAAGAACCAGAGAGAGCAAAACGCTGGGAAGGAGGATACGAACGAACATGGTGAGAAGTTGAGCTTTATGCCTAACTTTAACTTGTGTGCGTTTTCAATTTAAATGCATAATTTACCTCAAATTGCCTCCAAAAAGTGGTCATTGTTAAAAAAATATATTTCATAAAATATTATTTATACCGTCAATAATTGTCACCAAACGTATAAAACATAAAGGCTCCGAAACTATGGCTTAATATGATTGTAAGGGGCAGCACAAGACTATCAGCCACTGACTGATATTTATTAAAGCACTTGAGAACACATACGCTGTAATGAGCAGTTGACATGTGTCTCTCTTAGGGAGGTGCTGAAGGAGGATGAATCTGGATCTCTCAAAGCTACTGTGGAGGACATTCTTTTCCAGGCAAAGAGGAAAAGGTACAGCACTCGAATGCAAAATATAGAAATCAGTCTGAGTTGATTGCCTGTTGATTTGATATTCACTTGCAGTCTCTCTGTCACATTACAGAGTGTTTGAGAGTCATGGACAAGTTCGGCTTGGGATGGTAAGATGCATTTTACTGTCCTCCATAGTTATATCATTATTTTTTGTTGTCGGAGACTGATTATAATCATGTATATAATTCCCACCAAACCAGATGCGGCACCTCTTTGTGATCATTGACTCATCTAGATCAATGGAAGATCATGACCTAAAGCCCAACAGGCTCACCTCAACCTTGAAGGTTAGTAGCACTGCATCTGTAGTGGCATATACATGATATGAAATCTGTCTGAACTGATTTAATTTTGCATTCTTCAGCTGATGGAGTATTTTGTAGAGGAATACTTTGACCAGAATCCAATCAGTCAGGTAATGCACTCGTCTCTGTATCTGTCTGTGAGTGTTTACAGTGTGTGCAGCCTCTGTTAACTGTACCATATTGTCCCAGATAGGGATCATTACCACCAAGAACAAGAGGGCGGAGAAGCTCACTGATCTTGCAGGTTGATGCATTAGTATTATGTTTGCATGTTTTGATACGTTTTCTTTATCATCAAATTCACTTTTACTCTTACCAGGGAACCCTAAGAAGCATACAGCAGCTCTGAAGAAAGCCGTGGACTCCACATGTGTTGGCGAACCGTCTCTCTACAACTCTCTGAACTTGGCTATGCAGACACTGAAGTAAGGCACATGCCACTTCCACTTCCACCTGGAACTGAAATGTTAACAGTGTTGCATACAGTGCTTCATAATCTACATATCCCTTTACCGCAGTAACCATATGTCTATTTTCATGCAGACACATGCCTGCTCATACAAGCAAAGAGATCCTGGTGGTTTTCAGCAGTCTTACCACCTGTGACCCAGCCAACATCTATGAGCTTATCAAAGTGAGTTTGAATGGTGTTAATGTCTGCATACTGCAATGGTTAGTGTATTTTGATGGACACTGATTTCTTTGTGGTTTTCTGTTTTAATATATCAACAGGCTCTGAATGGTTTGAAGATCAGAGTGTCTGTGATCGGCCTGTCAGCAGAGGTTCGGGTGTGCACTATTCTCACAAGAGAAACCGGAGGTTGGTAGTCTTACTTTAACATGATTTCTCACTTGTGTAATGTTTTCTAAATTCTGTTTGGCCCAATAGGATCCTACAATGTGATTCTGGATGAGAGTCATTTTAAAGAGCTGCTGATGCTGCATGTGAAGCCGCCTCCAGCCAGCTCCTCCTCAGAGTGCTCCCTCATTCGCATGGGTAATCACACAGTCATTGTCACCACATTTACACAATTTAAATGGAGTAAATTGTTGAAAGTACAACACCTATTACTGGTAGCTAAAAGCTTAGTCAAAAATGAGCTAAAATGTTTAGGAAGTATGTAGAACTGGCAATATTCTGCTGTTTGTCGTTTTATTTTGTATGTTTTTATATCGTCATTGCACTGTAAATGTGAAGCAGTCCAGCATTAGTCCTGAATTATGTCTGGAAACATTTTGTATTTGTGTAAGCTACAATATATAATATGCATTCTTCTACAATATCTTTAATGTGCATAATAATTTGCTTAGGTTTCCCCCAGCATGTCATAGCCTCCATGTCTGATCAGGATGCCAAACCCTCGTTCAGCATGTCGTGAGTACAGTTTAAATCTGATGTTCTTACACTCACCAACGCTGCATTTAATCAAAAATACAGCAAAAATGTAATATTATGAAATATTATAACAATTTAAAATAACTGTTTTCATATAATGTAATACATTATAATGGCAAAGCTGAATTTTCAACAACCTTTGTCACATGACCCTTCAGAAATCATTCTAATATTCTGATTTGGTGCTCAAGAAAGAATTCTTATAGTTATCAATGTTAAAAACTGTTGTTCTGCTTTATATTTCTGTGGAAACCATGATATGTTTTTTCAGAATTTTATTGTTGAATAGAATTAAAAAAAACATTAATTTGAAATAGAAATGTTTTGTAACCTCAAATATCTTTACTGTCGCTTTTGAACAATTTAATGCATCCTTACTGAATTAAAGAATTTAAAAATCTTACTGACCCCAAACTTTTGAATGATATCTTTAATGTATAGTTATATTATTTATAATTTGAAATAATATTAATTATAGTTAATTTTCTAATATATTTTAGGCACCTGGACAGCGCTGGTGAACCAGAACTCACTCTTGGCGGCTACTACTGCCCACAGTGCAGAGCCAAATACACTGAGCTGCCAGTGGAGTGTAAAGTGTGTGGTATGTTCTCAGCATGTCCCTGTTCTTCAATCTGTACACTCATTTTCCGAGAGCATCGATGTGTTCAGTTCTCACAGTCAGCGTCTTCTCTCTGCTACAGGTCTGACTTTAGTTTCCGCTCCTCACTTGGCCCGTTCCTTCCATCACCTCTTCCCCCTTGAGGCCTTCCAGGAGACCCCACTGGAGTCGTATGAGGGCGAGAGGTGAGCTCCACACTCACTCTGTGAAAACCCCTCTATCTCATTACAGCCCATTTCATAGCATTAATCTGTCTTTTCAGGTTCTGTGAAGCTTGCCAAGGAGAGTTGAAAGACAAAAGTGTAGGTTTTCCAATTCAAAAACATTTGCATGGGAACATTAAAGGAACACTCCACTATTTTTGAAAATAAGCTAATTTTCCAACTCCCCTAGAGTTAAACAGTTGAGTTTTACCGTTTTCGAATCCATTCAGCCGATCTCCGGGTCTGGCGGTAGCACTTTTAGCTGTAGCTTAGCATAGATAATTGAATCTGATTAGACCGTTAGCATCTCGCTCAAAAATGACCAAAGAGTTTCTATATTTTTTCCTATTTAAAACTTGACTCTTCTGTAGTTACATCGTGTACGAAGGCCGATGGAAAATTAAAAGTTGTGATTTTCTAGGCCGATATGGCTAGGAACTCTTTGGTCATTTCTGAGCGAGATGCTAACGGTCTAATCGGATTCAATGGTCTATGCTAAGCTACAGCTAAAAGTCCTACCGCCAGACCCGGAGATCGGCTGAATAGATTCGAAAACGGTAAAACTCAACTGTTTAACTCTAGGGGAGTTGGAAAATTAGCCTATTATCAAAAATAGTGGAGTGTTCCTTTAATGGTTTCTTGTTTAAAATGACATTAAGCCTCTGTTTTCTCCTCTCTGCAGGTGTTTACTTGTCTAGCATGTAAAAAAGTGTTCTGCGTGGAGTGTGATCTCTTCATACATGACACACTGCACTGCTGTCCTAGCTGCATGCAGACTGACAGGACGTCCTGATGTAAGACGGCCTGACTACGAGACATCTGTGAACTTCAGTACAAGTAGAAACTGAGAGATGCAGAAGAAAAAGAGGAAGTCATCAGCCACTGATTATTGAGAGCTAATGTAATGAAAGCCGATGCTTGTCAGATCTTTGGCATCTTTCTGTTTACTTGCATCGTAGTTGTGCTCAAGCTGTAACTCTATGAAAAGGGCGCCCCCAATGGGGAAAAGTGTCTCACTGGACCAAATGAAACCAGCAACAGAGGGAAAATAATTTGTGCTGTTTTTTCAGCGTTACATTTCTATTGAAGCCACTGAGTTGTAATAGATTTACTATGACAGCTGTTTCTATATTTTGTTTCCTACAGACCATGTTAATATACTTGCCTGTGCTCAATGATTCAAAAGCAAACATGTAACTAGGTGTTGAGATGAATTGTTCAAACAAATAAATTTTTTTGTACTGACTTTGCATGACTTGTTTTTGCAAACTAAATGATTATATAAATATTGTATAAATGATTGCTGGTATATAAGTTTAAAGTGCTGCAGCAAAACGTCTTGATTTCTAGAGTTGATTCCAAGGACAAAACAGCGTATGACAGAAATAAAAGATATTACAAAAGTAATCCAATTCACAAGAATTTCATTTCAATACGAAAGGTTGGAGACAGATGAGATTCTTAAATTTTACCTTTACAAGCAATGGCACAGCTCTTCAAAAATATTCACCCCATATTCACAAATTCAGAATCGGTTTTCACACACTTTAGCTCACCAAAGTTCTTATCAAAACTCCTGCAATATATTAAAATGCATTATAAAGCATATACATCTAGGACTCTGACATTCACAGTTTAAGTGCTTCACAGCTCTGTAGTTTTCTGCTGCTCATAGTGTCTGTGCAGCCAGGCCTTCAGTAGTGGGAGGTTCTTGTCCATCCAGCGAATGTTCTCTTCAATGTTCTCCAGGGCTTGCTGAATACATCTCAATTCTGCTCCGGTCTCAGCCTGCAAGGAACTGAAGAAACTACGAATCTGATGAAGCAGAGAAACACATCATGTAATGAAGTGTTCTGATTACAGGATAAGATGTGTTTTTGGTCTAGACCAGCTGATGAAAGCTCCTAATTATTTGTATAAAAAACCCCAATACCTACCTCAGCTAGCATTTCTCTGGTGGAATACTGGTTGGTCACTCCCACTACCATGTGCGCTATAGAGGGTGAGCCAAGATCAAACCTATAAACAAATATTCGAAGTCATTAAAGGGCTCAGAATATCCCACTATCGTGTGTCTAATTAAATCAGTATCTTACTTCTTAATCAGGGAGTCCCAGTTAGCTTTTAAAAAGTCCCATGCGTGTTTGTAGGCCTTAGGATTTATACTGATTGAAGTCACAACATATGGCAGATCCTGAGTCTTCATCACCTCTCCCACCAGACTCTGCTCCATCATCCTGAAACAAATAAAGGATGACATGAGTGATTATTCTCATTTTCCTAAACTGATGTTTATCTGAATGTCTCACCATTTTAGCTTGTGATCGAGAGGGCTGGTTGTGAGGGCCATCTTTATCCTGCTCTTCATGGAGACGTACATGGATTCCTTGTACTTCTCAAACAGGAATTCCCAGCCATCCTCAGTCCGGGCACCGACAGAAAACACAGCCATAGTAACATCATTAGGAAGACTAGAGGACGGAAAGACAAAAATAATCCATTTCTCCTTACTGTTTCATTCATTAAGGGAGGAAAAAAGAAAACGTGCTATTACTTCTCCAGAGTTTTCATATTCTTAATGGAAACAGTGTAGACCAAAGTGTTCATTGTTCAAAAGGAGGTTTCAGAAAGGAAAGAAAATGATGACCTCTCACCTCATATTCCCATCTGAGTCCCTCCACCGGTTGAAGAGCTGGGTAGCCATGCTGACACAGGGAGGATGACCCCGCACACAGCCGAACAGGAGCAGGTAGCTGCGTAGCATCCTCTGAGACACAGAGCCATCATCAGTCCATGGCTGCTGGTCTATGAGCTTCCTGAACAGCTGCAGTATGTAGCCCTGGACCACAGCAAGAGAACCAGCATTTTTCCATACCAAATTTTATAATGTTCAAAAGTTTGGCATCAGTAAGATAAAAAAAGTAGTTAATACTTCTAATGCACTGGATTGATTAAAAGTGACTAAAACATTTATACATTTTCTATTCCAAATAAATTCTGTATCAGCAGCACTATTGTTTTCAACATTGATAATAATAAGAAATGTTTCTTAAGCACTAAATCAGCATATTAGAGTGATTTCTGAAAGATCACGTGACACTGAAGACTGGAGTAATGGCTGCTGAAAATTCAGCTTTACAATCACAGGAATGAATTATACTATATTAAAACAAACAAACAAAAAGGTTATTTTCAATTGTAATAATATTTCACAATATTACTGTTTTTACACTGCAAAAAAATGCTTTTCTTACTTAGATATTTTGTTTTATTTCCAACCCAGATATCTAAAAATTCTTAAATCAAGATTTAAGAATTTAGATAATTTAAGAATTTAGATTTTCTAGACAAGTCAAAATTATTGTCTTGTTTTCAGAAAAAACAAGTCCAAATGAAGTGAGCTTTTGCTTGAAACAAGCAAAATAATAAACAAAAATGGGGTAAGCAAAATAATCTTGTTTTCTGTTTGAAATAAGATTATTTTGCTTACCCCATTGGCAGATTATTTTGCTTGTTCTAAGCAAAAAACAAAGACAATAATTTTGACTTGTCTAGAAAATCCTTCTTGATTTAAGAATTTTTTTATATTTTGGCTGGAAACAAGACAAAGAAATCTACGTAAGAAAAGCATTTTTTGCAGTGTGCTGCACTACTGAATTATTTTTTATTGAATTATCTATTATTAAATGTCAAGATGCATTTTAGTTTTATTCTCAGAATTGCACAGACTGAAAAGAAGCTGATTTCAAATCGGAATCCTACTAGCTAGGAGGTCAAAAATACAGTAAATGATCCCTGACTGACCTTCATCTGGTTCTCCAGCTCCACCATGTCTCTCTTCTCCATCAGTTTGTACAGAGGCACAAGCTCACTGAAGCCCTGTGTCACTGGCATAATCTCAGTTTCCTTGCTTAGGTACAGGGTCAGGTCTAAAGCCTTATCCAGCGGAAGCTTACCAACACTGTCCATGACACAGGGAGGGAAGATGATTTTAAATCAGCTTGCCAACACTTTTATTGTATGATATGCAGTACTTTACATTGACTTGTTTGACTCCTGATACATTTTCATCCCACTGACCAATAAGAGCACGTACTGTATGCAGATGAATGAGGACTGACCTGACCAGCTGGAAGGCGTTGTTGATGAGGCTGGCCCGGTCATTGCTGCTGAGCACTGTGTGATTGTGTTTGAGCAGCGTGATGAGGTCATCCCAGCCAGAACCCTCATAGTGCACAATGTAATATCCACTCATGTCCACATTAAACTTGATCCAGTCCACCTCCTCCGGCAGATGCAGAACATCTTTGACAACATATACAACAGATCTGTTAGAAATCAGTGCTACAGTGTTCTATGGATGATCTTTCAGTCTTTGTGTCATTTAGAGGTTTAAACACTGACATTTTAAAAACTTGAAAACTGTAAATTATTATCAAAACAATATATTATATAATATCATTTAATAATATTAGCACAAAATTAGTAATATTATTAAATAATTCTATTACAAGAAATACCTGTTTTGGTCTTAAGCAGGAAGCGGTGCACTGTGGCTGAGCCGCTGGTAATGTAAGTCAACGGAACGTGCCACAGGAAGCTGTAAGATCAAGAATTTACAACCAAGTGTAAAAAAAGAGGAAAATTAAGAGTCTGAAAATAAGTCAATACATCTTTATAAAGCCCCATGTACACAAAGAGAGACTTGCTGTGACAAAGCAAATGGAATTTATTCATTTTCAGCAAGAGTTTACGATCACTGGCAATGTGTCTCCTGTGAGATAGTTTTGTTACTGTGAGTGATTTTACTTTGATCTATATGATTTATAGGTTTAGATCTATATGATTCTCATAGATCTCATGATCTATATGAGATTAAGATCTATATGATTTTAAATGATTTACATCTGTGCACATACAAGGATATAATTCTAAAGAAATTGTGGAAAACCGTGTCAAAAATGGAGCGACTTGGATTCATACATTGATGATAATTCATCTTGTTCACATGATATGTAAGATTCACTGCTGCCCCACTGTTTTAGCTGCAAGAAAACAAACTTATCTTATTTTGACTGCAATACATCTCAATTGTGACAGCATTTTAACCCTCTGGTGTTGTTGGCGGTCAAAAATGGCTGTTTTTTGTACTATATTTCAACTTAAACTGTGGTAAATCTAGAATGCTTTGGACGCAGACTTAAGTTTAGTCTCTTTTTAAAGAAGACGCTTGACCGATTAGTGCTGAAGTGAGAAATGTTTAAAAAGTGAAACAAAAAAGTGTATTATTATGAAAAATGCACAGAAATACTATTTTAAAATGTTATATCAAATATGTACTTTCCAAAACACGTTTTACTCTGAAACTGTTAAGAGTTGTGTTCCAAATTTGAGGTTGATATCTCCAAAATAAATAAATAAATAAATAAATAAAGTAAGTAAGTAAACTTTCAGTAAGTTTTTTGTCTGGCCACAGTACCAACCATTTCTACTAGATGAAATTAGTTCTCCAATCATTTCCAATGCTGTCATTTTTACCGCAAACAATACATGTGAGACTATTGTTTTCAGTACCGTTTAACCTTTTCAAATCATGTCCATGATTTTTTTTTGGTGTGTGTGTAAATGACTGTACAACACAAGAGGGCCAAAAGTATAAACCCTGAATAAATCATATAAAAAAATAAAATCACTATCAGTATCACAGGCATAAAAATTAAGAAACTGGCGATCTTTGATATTAATATTAAACCTGGATGTTTGTGAGGGGTCATCACTCTTTAGGTAACGCTCTTGACTTAGTCGAACTTCGCGACCTTTGACCTCCACCGTAATGAGTGGAAAGCCCTCTTGCAATGTCCATGTCTCCATCATAGCCTTAACATCCAGCTCATCCTCAGAGTGCCATTTCTAAAAGATAAAATATCACAGAAGTACATCACAACAGCACTTAAAAACAGGGTAAAGAGAGTTCAGAGTAATGTTGTAACAAAGTAACCCACAGAAGCTCCAGAGTGTGAGACTGAGCGCCTGCAGGACTCATCACCCTTCAGTCTTCCTTCATCCAGACCATCAGAGTCACACACCTATAACAGAGAGAGACATTGAGACAAACCTTAACATACACTCCTATATCATGAGACATTTTGATCCTGTACTCCTAAAACTTTGTGAAATTTTGTGAGCAAAAAAGGTCCATTGTCAATAGTGTAGCAAGAAGCATAGCTCACAAAGAAGTCTTTTTTAGTCATAGAATGATGACTGGATTTCACCTGGGAATCTTAACAGGTAAACGCAACTAATTATTTATGCATTTATTTAATTATTTATGCATTTTATCCAAAGCGACTTACAGTGCATTCAGGCTATACATTTCTTACCAGTATGTGTGTTCCCTGGGAAGCGAACCCACAACCTTTTGCGCTGCTAACACAATGCTCTACCACTGAGCCACAGGAACACTGTGTTAAATTATAATTAACTAATGAATTATAAGAACAGTTTACTGCAGAGTTCTATCCATCTGCATCACACATGTAATTTGTACTCACATTGGTCAGACTTTCCCACAGGTTACTATTGACCGTATTCTGGTAACTGTAGCGTTTTAGGTATCTCACAATGCCCAGTTTAAACGCATCTGGGGTCAGAAACTCTCTCAGCATGTTCAGAATACAAGCCCCCTGAAATGACATTAACAATCGTAAAATGGTTTTAAAAAGCTATTGAAAGAGTATAACAAGAAAAACATCTCGCACAGGAAAACTTTCCAAAGTTTTATTATGCACCTTGTCATAGGAAACATCATCAAACATTTCCTGTATCTGAGCAGGGTTCTCCACCGGTGTAGACACTGGGTGAGAGGAGCTCAAGGAGTCTACCTCCATGGCCTCAAAACACTTCTCTAGGAAATAATCTTCCTGTGGCACAAAAAAGGTTTGTCTTACTCTTCATATTAGCACAGATCTTCATCCAAATCATGCAGAGTGCTTGTAAAATTATGATTATGGAAATAAAAAGCCTATATATAACAGATCATTCCACCACTGCATGGTCACCAGGTTTCCAAACCACTGACAAGAACATGCAAAGAATGAACAATTCATTAACTAACCACAGCAACGTGTTACTGGAATACATCCCAAAATAGTTAACTGATGTAATCAGTTCACCTGATGGGCCAGTTCATGGGCGATGATCATCGTGATGCCCAGCTTGTCAGAAGCAGAAGACTTGTTGGGGTCAAAAAGAAGGCCTGATTCCCGGTAGGTGGTCAGACCCCAATTCTCCATCGCTCCAGACTGAAAGTCTGGGATGGCAGCAAGATCTACAGAGCAGATTATATAAATAGTGAACTCAGAAATCTACCTTTTGCACTTTAAGAAGTAGACGAAATGCCTAAGTTTAGCTAACCCTGTTTAGGTAGAGGGTAAGGAATGTCAAAGTAGTCATCATAGAAGTCAAGCAGTTTCACTGCAGCGTCCAGAGCAAACTCTGCCTGGTCGATCTTCTCTGGCACAGCATACACTGAAATCTGAATTCACATCAAATAAATACATTTATGGAGCATCACAAAAAGTAATAATTGATGGAGGTGGTATCTTATAGTACAGTACATAAGGGTTTGGTTTTAATGATGTAAGACGGATCATCTTCTAACCTGGACTCCATGCTGACTCGTTTTGCTGATGGACAGAAAGTCAGAGACAATGAAGGCCACCAGGTATGTGCTCATCTTAACACTCACATCAAACTGGTCCTCAAACAGGCCGCCTGGCAGCTCTAATGTTCTCAGCTGGAGTAAAGACAAAAAGAATAGACTCAACAGAAGAATCAGTCTCTAACGGCAGATTAATAGTTCGTGCACTTTATGATTTATTCAGGTTTTAATCAGAAGACAGCAGGATTGATCAATGGTGGTTCTATGGATATTATAACAACACCTTAGGCATGTTTGAGAGGGCAATATGCTTTGCTTCTCTGCGAATCCGCACGGAAAAGTTGGCTTTGAAGGCAGGTTCATCAAAACAGGGAAAAGCTGCCCGGGCACTAGTCGGCTCAAACTGTGTGGAAGCCACAACCCTGAGAACGTGATTGGCACAACATCAGATTGTTACTTCTAAAAAATGATAAATCACTTTCAGAGCCACTCAGAGAGATATTGGCTGCGCTTACATAAGGGTTCTCACCTGAGGTCTCCCTTGCTGGTCCGATATGTGCTTTTGTAAAATCCATGAAAGCTCTCAGAGAGGCTGGCGGCAAACTCCAGTTGAATTGAATATACATGGTCTCTCTTCAGCAGTGCATGCTCAGATATAAGTGCAATCTGCTGGAAGTATGGGTACTCCAGCACCTTTAGGGCCTGTATCTGACCTATGTCTGAATCTAGCAACCTTGCATTGGAGATATGAAGATCCTTGCTGTGCAGTATGATATTCTTGGTGTTTTCGTGGACCTCAATTTGGATCTGCACCATTCCAGTAAAGTCTAAACTTGTGAGGTTGGGGTGGATAAGGAGATGGTAATGAAGAGGCGATGCTGTGTCTGGAAGTCTCATTTTGTTCCATGGGAATGGTTCTCCATTGGTTGATGTGGGGAATGAAGTGGTCTCTGGAGTGACTGCAGCCCAGAGGTGAATGGGCAAAATTATGAGATTCACAAGCAGAGCATAGCTAGTCATAGCTGCACAGTACTACAACACTGTAGGGGAAAAGGGGGGAAAATTTATTATAAGCGCCGATAATACAACACAAGCTCATAAGCTCAATATGAGTTCAATTACTTTGAACAAGGTCTGTTTTCGACTTTGTTTAAAAATAATTTAGTGAGAAAGTGTATAATAATGCACTTATATAGGTTACATTGCATAGCCCCTCTTGTATAAATCTAATTTCTCCGAATCGGTTCTTTCGAACAATTCGTTTACGTCATGACGTAGTCATTTTCTGTTTAAAACATCCCAGTAAAGCCATATGTTGCACTTTTACCGATCGATTATGTATAATAATAAATGTTTATTGTAACTTCACATGCACGTGATAATGTCATGCAGCCAAGTGCAGAATGCTCTACTATCAGCTTACCGGTTTCATACTCATTAGGCTACATGTGCGAGGGCGACCGTTCAGTCATTGTTGACCGGTTTTGTGAACCATTTCAACAGATTTATTAAAAAGATCCGACTCAAAAGGGCACGGCGAATGCGTTGGACTCTTAGCATTTGTAGTTGGAAATAATCTTTTGATCAAACTTAATGAACATTCTACATTCGGTTATGCACAACACCAACGTCTTGTACTGTGATGTAAACCGAAACGGCACTGTGCGCGTGCAAGTTTATTTTCATATCACAGAATACTTACAATTACGAACTACGCTTTTCAGTTAAAATCCTCGATGTGTTCAAAAATGAATCCAGGTTTGGTTCAGCTGAGCGTTCAAATCAAAGAATGTGAAAGTGAAAATAAAATTCTTCAACATTTGCATCATGGGAAGTTGCTTTTTAAAATTAAAGGCGCTGCTCTAACAGATTAGCTGCAGGACAATTTAACACTATAAAATAAATACAATCAGTATGTAAAGTTGCATTTAAAGTGAAGTAACCATGTAGACGCATGTTGCCAGATCCTCCACAGTTCCCCAGTCTGTGGAAATGAACCTGAACCTTCAAATACCACCAGAAAGACTGTACTGTACACTGTAATATTGTAATTGAATGAATGAATGAATGAATGAATAAGCATAACTCAAGGGAAATTCTGTTTTGGTAAAAAAAATTATGTTGTTAGTTGTCATTGGTTGTGTATGGTCCTAATACATTTTTGGACACATTGTAATTGCAAACATGAAAAGCTGCAGAATGGGACAAAATCTTTCCATTTCTTTCAGTGATGGTGGAAAATATGACTTTTTGTGGCGGTCATAACATGTGACAGTCAATGCTTATAAACTCAGTGTGCATTCATGTAGATGTATGACTAGAACATGTAGTTTTATAGTCAACCCGGAGATAACATTTCACTGAAATCATTAATGAGTAAACTTTATGGTTTAGTTGAATCTCTCTTATCAGGAATAGGAATTTGACTAAAAACTGACCTTCATCCATATAATCTTGACACTTAAGATTGTTTTCACACCCTCCTACCCACCACTCTCATCATAGGCTATATTAGAGGAGGACAGGGCTGGTTGGACACATTCAGGAGGTGCCTTTGACAAACTAATGCTATGCTTAAGGAGGTGTTGTTGGGTGTCCTCACAGGAGCAGTGGCTTTGACTATAGGCATTCTGCTGGGACACTTCGCCATTGACAAGGGCAGTTCGGTGCCAGAGTGGGTCCGGGATGCATCTCGTGATGTGGACGAAAGTATCATTGAGAAATTCCTTGCAGAACTGGATACAAATCAACTTAAAGAGAACCTCAGGTGAAGTATTTATATGGAGGCACGCACACGAGTATGAGATTCAATTAGTAGAACACCTAAGAACATTTCACTTGGTATGAGGTTGTTTGTTCCAGCTGAGTTGAGAATTTACTTGATCTCCTTTATCCAAAGGGAGCTGACTAAGGTTCCCCACATGGCCACCACCTCTGGAGATGAAGCAACCGTAGATTTTATGCTGAAGAGATGGCAGGACCCCAACACAGGCTTGGACAGTGCATGGAGGGAAGACTACAAGGTGTATCTGTCATTCCCAAACAAAACAAGCCCCAACAAAGTCTCTGTTGGTAAGACAGGATATCTAGTCACATGGTTTCAAAACAGCTCTGTGGACTTCTAGTTTGTGAAATTTTGCTGATTTGCTTGTAGCACCCTGATTGCAGTCAAAATCATATATTATACAAAAATATGTGAAATGATGTGTAAGAAAATTAAGAATGAAAAACTGTTTCATTTAGTTGATCCAGCAAACACAGTGCAGTTTACGGCAAGAGAGCGAGAGAAGGTATACAAACCAGACCAGGAGGACCCAGAGGTGGTCCAGCCATTCGCGGCATATTCCCCCGCAGGAAACGTCAAGGTGTCCTTTACAACCTTAATATACTTCACAGTTCATGCATGCTTATATATTATTCTTCAAATAAACATTGTTTATAGTTTAAATTCGATCAAAAGTAAGAGTAAGGACATTTTTAATGAAAGATTTAAATTTCAAGATTTCAGTGTTGTTCTTTTGATAATAATAATAAATGATTCTGGAGCACAAAATCAGTATATTACACTGATTTCTGAAGGATCAGTGACACTGAAGACTTTGCCATCACATGAAAGAGAAAACAGTTACTTAAATTGTAATAATATTTCATAATATTACATATATTTTAATAAAATAAACATACCTTTGGTGAGAACAAGACTTCTTTCAAAAACATTACAAATCTTACTGACACCACACTTTTGAATGTCAATGTACATTAAATAAATAAATTCTTATGTTAAATATTTATAAAAAATATTTTATATTACATTAATAACTGCCTTTCCTCATCTCTAATATCAGTTTTTCTATTTTTTATTATTAATTTTTAAACGCCTTCTGTGATGGAGGTGTTATCATGACAGAAAATCTGTTATCTTATGACATTGTAAAGACACAGACGTAAGTTATGACATAACTGAGCAAGCGATGAAAACACATGACTTTATTACACTTGATTGTTCTAGAAAGAAAACGGAGCGTGTGATGATCTTTGGGGCTATCAGACCATATGACACCATAGTAAACTCATCTACTGATAGCGATTTGTTTTTTCTTTCACTGATGATTCATGATTGACTTTATAATCAAGGGTTCATTGTTAGCATTTCTTGCTATCACTAACTTTAACAAACGCTGATAAAATGTATGTCATTATTATATAGACATTATAAAAGTGATATTTATGCCTGAATCAAATTGTGATATAGTCCAATATAGTGACTCATCTGTTTTACATGCAGGGAAAACTTGTCTATGCGAATCAAGGTAAAATGAGTGACTATGAGCTGTTAAACAGAACGCTGGATCTGAGGGGAACCATCGCCATCACCAGATACGGAGGAGAAGGGAGATCTAAAAAAGTGAGAAAACACTAGTTAAATCTCTCAAAACCTTTCAGGACAAAATTCAGAATTAGCTTTCAGTTCAGATCTCTGAAAAGATCTAGATAGCATACTAGTTTTATTGCCTTGAATGTGTAAAAACTGTTTTAACTCTCCTGTGGCATGAATATAACAGGCTATAAATGCAGCCAAGTTTGGAATCGTTGGGGTGCTGGTCTATACTGAGCCATATGACATGAACGATGGCCTGGTGTCAGAAAGTGAAACCTACCCTCACTCCTGGTATCTCCCACCTTCTGGCGTCGAGCGAGGCTCATACAACACTGACTTTGGAGACTTGTTAACACCTTACTTAGCTGCAAAGGGTAACTGGGTTTTTTGACATCGAAACACATAAGGTAAATGGCATATGGTACAACATATGTAAATGTTTTCATTTGTAGATGATACCTACAGAATACCAAAAGAAGACATAACAGGTATTCCGCCAATTCCAGCACAGCCAATAGGGTTTGAGGATGCTGAAAGATTAATCTGGTGAGTGTAACAGTTTAAATATACAACCCAATAGCTGGGTTTGTCCCTTTTTAACCCAGCATTTTTTTTAGAGTGTACGACATTTCCTTTTAATTCTTGACTGAATTATGTGTGACAGTGAGCTCGATGGGGACGATGCCCCTGATGAATGGCAAGGCTCACTTAACTGCACATACAAACTTGGAGGGCCAGGGTTCAAAGCCTTATCTACCTTCAGCAACAGGTAACTGCTGCATATTTGTGCCCAATCTTGTAATGTCCGAACAAGTATGGTTGTATGTTGAAAGGTTATAATGTTGGTCAGAATTAAAAGAATGTTTTGTCTGTCAGCAATGTGCACTTGGACATTTATAACACTGAGAGGCTGGAATATTCAGCAAATGTTATGGGAATAATCCGAGGCAGTGTGGAGCCAGGTAAGTTGGACTTGTCATAACGTTAACAAGCAAAAATACATGTTGTCCCAATATACACAGTTCCCAAAAAGTATTTATGCACTTAAGTCACACTTGAAATGTCTAAAATGTTTATTGAGCACCAGATGTGCATATTAGAATGATTTCTTGAGGATCACAGAAATAAAACTGTATATATAAAAATATAAAAACTGTAACAAAATGTTTACAATATAACTGTTTTTACTGTATTTATGATCTAATAAATACAGCCTTAGTGAAGCAATTGTTATAGTTACATTTTGTTAGATATAACCAAATACATCTTGAGGAACTTATAAATTGCATTTGCAAACTGTATTTTTGTATGCGTGTTGTTCAGACAGGTACGTGATTTATGGGAACCACAGGGACAGCTGGGTGCACGGAGCCATTGACCCCAGCAGCGGCACAGCAGTGATGCTGGAGATCACCAGAGTGCTGGGGAAGATGGTGAAGGAAGGTCAGGCCTAATGACATCCACAGAAAAACTGCTTTTGCCATTAGATGTGACTGTAGGGCTGGTTGTAATGACCCAAATGAAGTAATTTGCTATGAGTATTATGGAAGTAAAATTGTGTTCTTAAAACTATCAGTGCTGGGTGGCAATAAAGAAAAACAATATAACAATGCATCAAATTCTAGTCAGTTACAATCTGAAAGAATAACAAAAATCAAATCATATTAATTTCGTATCTCTACCTGAAAGGGAAATGGCGACCTCGGAGGTCCATTATCTTTGGCAGTTGGGGAGCTGAAGAATTTGGCCTTATTGGATAGTACATAAGTGTCAAAGTGGCAATGAGAATAAGCACTTTTTCATATCCCAGAATCCTTGAAGAAAGCTGTGCAGTTATTCCGTGAAACAGCCACCAAACTGGACCGTGTGATCAGGGATTCAGATCTTGCAAAAGAAACGTAAGTTATTACTGTAGAGCCTTTTTTAATGAAACGGCTAAATGAACCTTTAGAAAATATAAAAGCGCTTTTATGGCTTACATGATATTACGGAGGAGAATATGGAGCACATGAGAGATCAAAACTGAGCAAACGTTTACAATTTGGTGCTAATATTTATATGGCCAGGTGAATCCTCCTACTATCCCTCATACCACAATCTACATATTAACAAATCGATTTCTTTTCCTCATTACCCCTTATTAAATAAACCAAAGCAATAGCTGGTAAGTGCCAGTGTTACCCAGCATGCCTCTGCAGCTCGACATGTCAAAAGGAATACGGGATCAGCAGACCAAATCCGGCTGAAAGCATAGCAGCTCTCCTCCTTTAAGCTCCGCTATGAGCAGATGTCATTGCACAGGGTAAATCCCTGCATTTGAACAACAGTTCTCAGTGAGAAGAAACAAACACAGTGATAATATGTCTTTAAAGTTGCTTTATAAAGCCAGCACACAGAAATTGTAAAAAGCGTGCAGTTCATTATAGACCCCCCACCCAAGCTTTGTATGTGCCCCCACACCATTGAAATGAACAACAACAACAACAAAAAAATATTTTTCTTCCTTTCACGAGTGTCCTCAACTCCTTTAGAAAACACAAACTTTCATTAAAATGCTACAAAATGAAAAAAAAAAATCACAATTCACTGCACTTCTGGGGAAAACAAATCCACAAAACAAACAGTAATCAGGCAGAAACATACAACAAAAATAATATAGGCAAAAATTATATATTTTTTGTTTTGACATAAAAATAGTTTTTTCTTATTTCCTTTTACCCCTCAATCCAATTCTTTCCAATACACGTCCACGTCCATGACAGCACTTCCTGTACATCATTCCGGCTCCATGACAACAAATCCTCAGTTCTGGGTACACTACGTCCAGTGGGAATGTACATATGAGAAGTGGCATTTTTTTTGCATTTCATTTTTTTCCCTTTCATTTATTGAGAAATCTCAAAATATTGGCTGTTGAATGAAAGTTTGTATTTTTCTCTCGCTCTTTTAGGCAAAAGTCTTCAGATGAGTCCACATCACGGTGAGCTCTGCGGTTAATGGCAGTGGTGACTTGTGAAATCCTTGTGTGGTAAGATGTGGCGCTGTTGCTAGCTAAGCCTGCGCGGAGAGGGCAGGAAAGCCACAGACATCAGATGACATTACCAGACTTAATATGTGTTCTAATGAGAGATATTTCAATTATGTTCACAAACAAAGACATGACTACATTTCTAAACATGTACAAGATAATGTCTGCCAAATGAAAGTGAGCATGTTAATTGAATTATGGATGATTTTTAGGATGTTGAAACAAAATGACGTTTTTTTTCTATATAACTTACCAGATTTAAACAATATAGCCAAACTTAAAAGTGAATACGATATTATGTAAAAATAAAACTGTCTTCAACCAAATTTGTTTTCATGAATGACAAACTAAGGATAAGATCCTCTGAACATGATCTAATAATTCTCTGTTTCTATATGACTAGAATTCAACTGATGATGCTTTTCGGCCAGACAGATACAGTATGGGATGAAGAAAGCAGGGATGATGAGCAGATATTTGGCAAGCATGAGAATGAAAATCAACAGACGATGGTGATGCAAACCCGGAGAAGTCAGCATTGCCTATGAGAACATGTAAGACACAGTGTAGCTTGATCATTTTAGTCCACTTTCCATAGAAAACAAGTCAAAACCGTTCAAAGGTTTGGGGTGGGGATTTATTTATTTTAAATATTTTTTTTGCAAATATTGAACCCATAGTGTCAATAATAAGATTTATAACACTGCAAATGTTTTCTATTTCAAATAAATGCAGTTTTTATATTCACCAAATAATGCTGAAAATGTACCATTGTTTCCACTAAAATATTAAGCAGAAAACTGTTTTCAATTACAATAAGAAATGTTTCTTGAGCACCAAATCAGCATATTAGAAGGATCGTGTGACACTGAAGACTGGAGTAATGGCTGCTAAAAATTTAGCTTTGCCCATCCCAAAAATAAATTAGCGTTTAAAAAAGATTTTAAATTGTAATAATATTTTTAAAATGACTATTTTTTTTATCAAAACCCTTCTTTAAAAAACAATAAAAAACCCACCAAACTTTTGAACAGTAGTATACATGCACTTAATTATGCTCCACTTTTCAAGAAATCTGTCTGATCCGATCTTCACATCTATTCTGATTCACAATCCTCATGATGAAAATGATATAGATCTGAACATGCACTCATCAGATTAGTGTCTGATTCAGACAATGCACTTCTCTGGGTTAGACAGAGCAAATGATAACAAAGGGTGGGTGTTATTTCATAGACAGGATGGGTGAGAACAAATCCACTACTATAAAACATCCAAATCAAACAGATAAAACCTACCATGCATGCATTTAGACCCAGGAGTCAACAGGCTGAGGTTTAACATCACAAGCATCCACCAGACTGACAGTTGGCCTGTTGCTCCTGATATAGTGTTTCCTATTTGTGTCATTCTGCAGCAACGGGAGAGGGGTTCAAATCAGCAAAACCGACAGTTTAAACACACAGAGAAAGGCCAGAGTTAGTCTTCGCAACAGGGGGAAGCTCAAGGGGAAAATAAACAGTTTGAAATGATAGAAGAGAGAGGTCACTGAAGTGAATGCATGCAAGATCCATTCTCGAAAACAACAAACCGTTGTTTGGCATGATATTTAGGTACAAAAGCGTGTTGCGCCAACAGGGACCTCTAGAGGGAGCAACTTCATTGTATTAGACGGTCAAATAAACCCTTAATGTCTGCCAAATATTGTGGCAATAGAAAAGAATGAATCTGTTTGTTCGGTCTGACGTTCTGACAGTTGCAGCGACAGAAATCTGAATTTGTCATGACATCTATTAAAGCGTCTGGAAAGCCTAACAAAGAAATACGGCAGGCAGCTGTTGAGATACAAAGCCCTGTCACAACGCTGAGACAGACTACAGATGGTACAGAAATGTAGTCGTCAATAAGGCAGCGCGTCCATGAACACGCTCATCTATGAGCACAGTGTGGCCTCTCTCGAATGCAGACGCAGAAAAGTGAATCACTCTCACGCTGGGCTCTGATAACACTCATAATTACGAGGAATTTACCAATTAATTCTTTAAAAATCCTACAATGTGATTTTCTGGATTTTTTTTTCTCATTTTGTCTCTCATAGTTGAGGTATACCTATGATGAAAATTACAGGCCTCTCTCATCTTTTTAAGTGGGAGAACTTGCACAATTGGTGGCTGACTAAATACTTTTTTGCCCCACTGTATGAGATGACTCCATATAAAGTCAAGAGGGAGTAAGAAAACTCAATCTACTGTTGCAGAGGCACTTGAAATGCAAGTCGACCTCTCCTACAGATGCCAGTCAGAGCGGGAAAACAGCAGCACCAGGCAGATTCTTAATCATCTCTACATTAATGACTTTAAAAATCACAAAGCTGATGTTTAATTATCTATTTAAGCACAACATGGGGCTAACAACAGACTGTATGAGGGGAAGCCAAGTTTAAATATACTTAATATGGACTGATATGAGTATCTTAAACATACAGATATAGACTGTAATCTGATATAGTAACTGATTACATGTCATCTGGATTACGTAATCAGATTCCAAAAATTAGGTAGTTGTGATTAGATTAAATTACATTTGAAAATACTTGTAATCAGACTACAGTTACTTTTTTATAGATTACATGATTACATATTATTCCCACACTAGCAATAAATTATTAATAATTTATTGATTCCCACTAATTCTTCTTTTTCATCTTTTAAATTAAAAAAAAAATTGTGTCATTTCTTATTTACATGTAATGCATGGTTTTCCAAACTTTTTTGGGAATATATATATAACATATTTAAATATTTGAATAATTAGGTATCACATTTGCATGTTCATGGTTCTCTGATGTTGGTTAATGGTCACATGACATTCAGGTAAACAAATAAAATATTAAATTTTTTTTTAGTAATTGTTTTATTTTGATTGATGTTATTTTAATAAGATTTATTTAAATTTTACATTTTTATGATTTAATTAATTATTTGCTTTTCATTAAGCTCACAAAAACTTGGTTCCCTTATGAACTAATGAGTTTGGGAAGCCTTGATAATGTAATGTAATGCACTTCATGTTGTCAATAACAACGAATGGAATATATTTTCATTTTCTTTGCATTTTTATATTGATATGGTAGATTTAAATCAATGGGATAAACGAGTTAGGGCAAAAGTAATCTAAAATTAATCAAAAAGGAGTCTGATTATATTACTTAAAATGTGTAATGTAATGGATTACGTTACTAACTACAGTTTTTGTCATGTAATTTGGAATCAGTAACGGATTATAATTTGTAAATAATCTACCCAGCTCTGTATATGTACAGTATATATATGTGTGTGTGTGTGTGTGTGTGTGTGTATATATATATATATATATAGTTTTTCATGACAAATTATATTATCAATAAAATCATTTGAATGGAAAGTTTGATTTAAAAATTTACTTTTTTTGCTTTAATTAATTAATTAAATATAGATTTTTTTTATGTAGATTCAACATTTTATGGACACTCTTCAGTACTGAAAAAAATTAATTTTTTTCTCGACTGTGTCTGCCATCTTGGATGAAATTTTATTTCTTGTATTTTACAAGGCATCGTAATATTTCTACAGTACCTGCTGTTTTTATACTGGGGTCATCTATGATGCCATAAAATCAGTATTGCCATGTCCACTTATTATAAGCGACTTTATGATCTTTTTTCATTAGGCTGCTTATAAATATGAGCAGTCA